AGGTGAGAGCGCCGCGGCCGTCTCCTCGGGCCGCTCAATTTTCTATGAGAAAAATATTCCTGAGAATCTGGGCACATCCTAAGCTTTGGGAGAGCCTCTAGGAATGATTGGGGAAGGTCTCTTTCCCCCCCACTCTTAACTTTAAGCTGTAACAATGCTGTAACTTTGGTAAAGCTGTGCTTTTCGCGCTCTCGCAGGAGATGCTCATGGTGTGTTTGTGAATTCTCCAAAGCCAGGATAGGTGCCGAGGGCGGAGGAGCGAACGCGGGCACGTTCCGGCGGGCGCGGAGGGAGCCCCAGCGCCCGAAGCGGGAGGCGAGCGTGGGCCTGGCGGCGCCGCAAAGCTCCGGGAGATGGATGTGGCGGAATCGCCTACGACAGATCAGGATGCCTATGGAGACTGTGGAGTAAACTTACCCCCGTCTAGTTATCTTACAGCAATGGGGTCGTCTGTGGACAGGTGAGGATTTTATGTTGTTGCAGTAGCTGCCTGCCGACAGAAAGAGGCACTCTTGCTTCTGGCAGAGGGTTGTCAGAATATTAGCAAAATTATAGATCTGTATATCAGTATCTTAAACAGGCATAAACCTCTAATCTTTAGGTTTCTTTATGTGAAGGCTGACTAATCATGTTCGACATAAGATTTTTATTACTTAATAGTAGCTCTCTCCTAAACTAACAAAACAAATGCTATGGTAGTAAGCCCTTTCAGGTAGGATGCAGAGCACTGAGGTCTGGAAGTACTTAATGTTCTTAAATTGGGTAGCTTGGTTTTAAACTTGTGAATACTTTATATTATTTCATATGTTGGCAAAAGTGCAGCTTTGGATCCTTATGCTTCTGAATTTTTAAATATACTTATGCTACTGGGCATAGTGTTTTTTTATTGGTATAAAGTATGAACTTACCTAAGCAATTAATAGTAATGAGTTTAATCTTTGGCAAAAAAAAAGTGTTCATTCCTTCATAGTAAGAACTGGGAAAATTGGATTTTGCTTTCACATACAGTATTTTAAATCACAGGAGTTCAGGTCCTTTATTGGACCTGAATTGCAGTGCTGGGCTTGAGGAGAGCAAACCGCAACCTCTTCAGGGACCTGCTTGAAAGAATGCTGTGGATAGGGTCCTAGTAAGAGAAGAGGTCCAAGAAAGCTGGTTGATATTCAGGGAGCATCTCCTCTAAGCTTATCGGATCCATCCCAGTGAACATGAAGTCAAGCAGAGGCAGCAGGAGATCTGCATGAATGAACGAGGATATCCTGACAAAACTGAAGTGAAATCAAATACAAGAAGGAATGTGGAAGCAGGGACAGGTAACTAGGGAGGAAGACGGGAATGTTGTCCGAGTATGCAGGGATGGGGCTAGGAGGGCCAAGCAGATTTGAATCTGGCAAGGGATGTCAAGGACAAGAAGAAGAAGAACAGAAACAAAAAGAAGATGGGAGAAAATGTGGGCCTGTGGTTGAATGGGGCAGCGGCCCTCGTCACAAAGGATAGAGAAAAGGGAGAGGTATTGAATGCTGCTTTTATGTCCATCTTTCCAGGTAAGACTGTCCCTTGGGATTCCTGGGTCCCGGAGAGCAGCACGGAGTTGAGAAAGGAAGCCTTTCCTTTGCTGGAAGAGGATTGGGTTAGAGATCTTCTAAGCAAAATGGGCATACTCAAGTTCATGGATGCTGCTGCACCAGCAGTTGCTGAGGACCTGCTGGATGTCATTGCAAGGTCACTCTCAAATCGTCTTGGAAAAGTCAGGCAATCAGGAGAAGTGCTAGAGGCCTGGAAGAAAACCAGTGTCCCTCCAGTCTTTCAAAGGAGCAAGGAAGATCCAGAAACTAGAGGCCAGTCAGCCTCACTTCAGTCCCTGAGAAGTCCTAACCAGCCTGATGGCCTTTTCTGATGGAGTGCCTGAGCAGGGCAGATGAGAGAGTGGTAGATGCTGCCCACTTTGACTTTAGCAAGGCTTTTGACACTCTCCTAAAATCCTCATAGGCAAGTTGAAGAAGTATGGGCCAGATGAGCCCAGTGACGTGGCTTAAAAACTGGTTGAATGGCAGAGCTCCAAGGGTTGTGATCAGGAGTATGAAGTCTAGTTGGAGGCCTGTAGCTAGTGATACATCCCAGGGATTGACTGAGCCATCAGTGTGCCAAGAAGACCAGGGGTTTCCTGGGATTGCCAGCAGGTCAAGGGAGGTGATCCCCTGAACTCCTCCTTGGAGATCCTCAAAAGCTGCCTGAATGGAGCCCTAGCAGCCTGCAGTAGGCAGTTCCACTTGAGCAGAGGATTGGGCTAGATGACTTCCAGGGGTCCTTTCCAACATCTACCATTCTGTGGTTCTGTGGTAGCTCTGGGAGTGCAGGGCCACAGTGGTGTAGCTGGTGTCTCTTGAATCCTGCCAGGGCAGGAGGAAGACCAAAAGGGCCTGAGGGTCATTCCTAGCCTGCACAGCTGGTGTTGCTGACAAGGGTTTGGTTTCTATAACCGAAAGCCAAATGGCTGTGGGAATCCAGGCCTGCTGGAGAGAAGATCCAGACAAATGCAACTATGTTGGAGTAAGGAGGCTTGCGTGGCAGGAGTGCTACAGACGGGTATGAGCTTGTCAGGAAAGGTGGGCAGGGAAGAGGAGGAGGGAGGTGCCCCCGTATATGAAGGAGCAGCTTGGATGTGATCCAAGCGGTGCAGAAAGGGCTACCTTGGCTTCCTCCCACAGAGGCATCTCCCTTCTCCAAGTGACCCCCACACTCGAGCCCCTTGCCCAAGAGGCCTTCCCAGGTGGACAGCAGGTGATGGACAGGAGCAGCATCCCACGTGGGGAGCAGGAGAAGGTCCCAGCCTTGCCTGCCTCACCAGAAAGCTGCTTGTTGAGCTCAACCCAGAAGCATCTGCATGGAGGTGGGCCCAGGCTCCCAGCAACAGCACAAGGGAAGGTGCAGTGCAGGCATCTGGGAAAGCCAAATGGCCTGGGGCACAGCTGTGAGGGCAGCAGGGATGGACTGGTCTGTGACTCGGGCTTTTACTTTGTTTCTGCTCTACTGTCAAATAATTTAGTGGAAACTAATGAGAAAGATCGTAGCTTCTGTGTTCTTGGTTCTACAGATTTACTTAGCTGAATCGTTTCTAGGCTAGTACCGTATCAAGGTGTGCTGTATATTTTGAAACGAAATAGAGTTGCTGTGTGGATGGATTGCCTGTGATTACCTAACTTGATTTCAAAACAGTTCAGTTAAATTGCCGCAGTACTTTGTTTATACTGGATATTAATTGCTGAAGCAAGTGCTGTCAGACTAATTTTGACAGGTCCCAGAAATAAGATGAGGTAATACCTACTGAAGGAATGTGGACTCTGTTTTTGCACTGAATATCTTTACTTCAGTTTAAACAGTTGAACGTTTTTTGTGCATTACATCCCAAATATGTAATCCTAAGGTTGTATTCCAAAATAACTTTCTTCTTGTGGAAAGATTTGCCCATGTTTGGAGGATGGGCTTGTTTTATATTTTATAGGACTTATTATTTTCAGTCTATAAGTAAGCTAAGATCATGATTGCTACTAGATACTAAATTACTATTTTTTTTTCTCAGAGTATTTTCAAAATTACGTAATATTCTTTGTAATTATGTAATATTCTTCTTCATGAAGAAGAATTCACTCGTCTCTAGTGTCCTGACAAGCAGGAGAGCAGAATTTAAGGCAGTGGTTCTTTTCCAAAATGCCTGTCATGAATAAAAAAGGCAGGAATTATGATTGTGTTTTTTTAACTCTTATATCTAATTGTTTTGGGGAATTTATGGTGGGGGGTGCTAGGCTTTTGAAAATTTATAAAATTGAGGCCAAATGAAGTTCAAATCAGACTTGTAGAAAGATATCAGTACTTGTGTTTAGTGGTAAACAGGAGAAAAGTTCAATGACTAAAAAACTTGTGATGTTATATGAAGTGTGTGCGAATTTTATTGCAGTGAGGAGGACATTTATCGTGATGCAGAAGAAATAGAGAGAGAGAAAATGTTACTTGTTTGTGAGACTGGCTCTTCAGGTACCTTCAACCTCTTTTTGGTGTTTCAAGTGTAATATTACAATGAGTTTTATTTATGATGATCTGAAACCTTCCCAAATGTTTTTTAATGCACTGATGTCTGTGTGAGCAGTAGAAGTTATTTATCAACTTTATTCAGATTTTTTTTTCAGATTTATTTTATGTAAAATTAGTTGCTACTAGTTTTTCCTGTGTTCTTTTCTGTGTTTCGTCTATGTTATATTTCGGGAGTTCTCGAGTCCTTTATAGAGTAGTGAAGCAGCCTTTCTTATGAGTGTTGTTCTTGAGAATTGCTGATTCCTAGTCATTACAGAAACAGCTGCTGTTAGTAACCCATGATAACTTTAGTGTTCTCTGTTGTCAAACGAAGGCTCTTGGGAGTCCAAGAGAAAACTGTATTCCCACTGCTTTTGCCTTAGAAAGGTCTGTTATCTTTCTTCTATATATTCTACAAAGAGCTGTTATCTTTCTTCTGTATATGTGACTCGTGAAAGAAGAGAGTAATTTTCATCTAACACTTTTATTTAGCTGTGGTTTTAAGAGCTGGGAGATTTTCTCCTCTCTGATACTAAAAATTATTTAGTAGCTGTAGGTCGTGCTATGTCAGTCTCTCTTCAAATGGCATGAATTTTATTTTAAACTGATGGTGTGTATTTAGAAACCTAAATTCTGATACTTTTCTGTATTGCTCTGTTTCACAGTTGTCTGTATAATGTTGTGTATTCTATATTGGCAGAACATAAACTAAGTGTTGCACCTGAAATGGACATCATGGAATATTGTGTAAAAGAATGGAGAGGAAATACACCAGTAGCAAAAAGGATGAAAAAGGTACAAGTTCTTTTTTTTTTTTTTTTTTAATTTAATTTTCACTTACAAGTTTAGAAGGTGATTTCCTGGGGGAAAGCTTTAAAAAGGAAATGCAATAGTAATATTGTCAGTGTTTCAGTGTTTGGTCTCTGAAATGACTAGCAACTAGCAGATTGTTCTGTTCAGAGCAGTTCAAAATGTGTCGTTAGTAAAGCTACTTGAGAATGTAGGGTTTTGATTAATACAGTTCTTCATTACTGTTTTCAGTTACAAAGTTTTGAACTTGTTTTGTTGCCATAAAAATGGTAGGTTTTTTGCTGTAAAAATGATAATGATAACTGTCTGCTCAAGTGGTAGAGGAGATGACTGACTTCTTGCAGAAGGAAAATAACTGAAGCCGGGGAATTACATGACTTGGAGCTTTATGTACAAGTTCAGGGATTTTTAATTTCTGTAAGTTTTCAATTTTTTCACATTATTCTTGAGCTAGAATTGTAGAAGATAAAAAACAGAAGCATGTAGGTTTTTTCTTTCCTTTTCCCAAAGTGATATCAAAATCTAATGTTGTATGAGTAAACATGAACTGTTTCTCATAAAACGATCCCTGTGTAACCTTCAAGAAGTTAGTAAGAGAAATTAGGGCTTTGGATCTTCTCAAGTCAGCTGAAGAGATGCACCAAGTTTCACAAGTTGTGTTTCAACACTGCTTTTTCTTTAATGACACATATGGGAACAGCAGGGAGGAGACAAATGTGCTGAGGCATGTGTCAGGGTATTTCAGTGTAAACACAGATTTTTTTCCCTGAGGGAGAAAGAAGCTCTATATGACAAGTGAGTGGCTAAACTATTGCTGAAACTTCTTGGAAGAATGGTTTATTTTTAGCCTTAAATTCTTATGCTTATATGCTTATTTTGATTTTTGAAAGCTAAATCGGTTAACTATGCAGATTTCAATGAGACTTCTATTCTGTAGTCAACAAATGCCATGACCAATTATATGTTTTATTATTACTTTTATACCTTGTTTCTTTGCTGCTCAGCTGGACTGTGGTAGGGTGGGGGGTTTAGTTTGTTTGTTTTCCCAAGCATGACTTGTGAAGTAAAAGCATTTGAACTTTCAAAACGGCTAGAGGGTCAGATTCCTTTTGCCCTATCACTTAGTATTGAAACTTGATGTGTTTTTCCCTCTGTCTTCCTGATGGCAGGTACCTATATCATAAATACATTTTAACACTTAATAATATTTGGATTTTGTGTTTTCTTAGGGATATGAAGCAGTTTCTCAAAAATTTGCATTCATAAGGAGAGTACGAGGTGATAACTACTGTGCTCTCAGGGCAACCCTGTTCCAGGCATTAAGCCAAGCTACTCAATTGCCAAGCTGGCTGCAGAGTGCAGACTTTACTATGGTAAGTGAAAATCTTGGATCTCCTGGCAGGAGAGAAATATTGGTTCTGACCTATTTAATAATTTTATGATCTAATTTCTCTGTGCTGTATGCACATTTGTGGAAGTCACTTAGAATTAAGAAGTAGAAGCGTTCCAATTTTAAGCATATCTCCCCTACCTATTTAAGATTTACGGTGTGATTCTTCCAATATGGAATTGAGTCCATGTCACTTGAGTTCCCAGTTGAGCTTGACTATAATGTAACTTACCTGTCAGCTTCTTACCCTTTTGGATTCTTCTCCCTACATATAATATGAGTAGTTTGTATCCCACCAATACTTCTGGATTATTTGTCAAATACCTTCACATCTTTAATCTGTTGATTGAGGAACATCTTCACACACAATGGTCACCATCACCAGATGTTGGAACTGGGAGAACGCCCTGAGCATCTTACATGTTTAGTGTTTCCAACACTTCTGTATTGAATTTTTGCTTAGATTATGTGGTAGGTACAGACCAGTATTCTGACTCAACAAAACTCAACAAAAATTAGGAAGAGTCAAAAATTTGTTACTCAACAAAAATTAGGAAGAGTCAGTTGTGTTCAGTTATGTGTTTCTTAATGTTACCTATGCTCAGAATAACGTACTGAGAGATCATTTTAAGGTGTAAACTGTAGAAATGTATTGATTCAATAATGTTTAAGGTAGTGACTTTTCAATATTTTTTTTGACTGCCTTCTGTCAAATTGCAGCTTCCTGAGAAGTTGTTGAGCAAATATGACTGGATCAAGCAGTGGCAGCTGAAACAAAAACTGGGTAGAAAGATGGGAGAAATAAGTGATGAAATTAAGGAATATTTAATGCTATTAAAGAAAAAGGTTGGTAAAGTTTTTGAGCTTTTTTTGTTTGTTTGTTTGGAATGTAGTGAATTTTATATAAGGATACTGTATGCATGAGACCAAAAAAATCAAGAGAAGAATATTTGTTCAGATCTGGTGGAACTTTCTGGTCTTCTGTTGCATTGTTCAGCTAATGCTAGAATTAATATAGAATCTGCAGAAAACTACTGCAATTTAGACAGGTCTTGGTGAAGAAATTTATGTAACATAGTAATGTTTTCCCTCTGTTATTTTTTGTGTTAGCTTTAGAGTGATGCATAGTCCTTTGATTAAATGCTATTGCTACCTTAAACAATACATGGACAGTATTTGTCTGGCTACCTTGTAGCAATCTTCCACTATCTCCATCCTTTTTTGTTTTGGTCAAGGATTAGCTGCTTTGCTAAAAATTACTGACCCAACTTAGCCTGGCCAAACTACAGCTGTGGAAGTATTCTAGAGTGCTTTCAGATATTTTTAAGTTAAATTCCAAGTGCCTATACTGAAAATTCACAATTAACAGCTGTTTTCTTTTTTGCAGCTCCTGTTGGTTCATGTTGTGTGTGTTATTTTTATAGTGGAAGAATATCAGTGAAATCAAGGCTGCTAATGAGAGACAAGAAGCTTGTGATGAATTGTTTAAAAACGAAGAGGAAGAGTACAGCCTATATGAAGCTCTGAAATTTTTGATGCTCAACACAGCCATTGAGTTGTACAATGATGATAAAAATGGAAGGAGGGTTCCCGTCTTCTCGTGGTTACTGTTTGCACGGGATACATCTAGCAACCCTTGTCAGCTAATGCATAATCACTTGAATCAAATTGGTCACAGTGGAGGGCTTGAACAAGTAAGGAGAGATTGTTGTCATTAGAATGTTATTCTTCTGCTTGGGATTTTCCATTTGAACTGTTGATAGAAATGATCCAGCTTTTGTTAATTAACCACATTTAATAATACATAACCACATTTAATAATGTGGTCTGATCTTTCTTTTTTGGAGAAACTGTAATGGCTGTTAGGGAGTCTGTGAAGGCCTTCCTTTTAAACATTGATTTTGTGTGCTAGATGTGCTAGTTTCCTAACTGTTAATTAAACTATTTAGAAATACCATGATAAAACATAGCACTGTCCAGTTATGAAGGACAAGCTCATGTAAAGTGCATACGCTTGGTGAATTCTAATAAAGAATGACACTTACTGCCTGAAACTTTGCAGTAGTGATATACTTGTCACCAAAAACCAACGAAGCAAACAAAAAAATCACCTCAGTGATTCTCAAATCTTAAAGATTCTAGAAAAGTCATTTAAAAAAAAAATTCTAGCTAAGACATTGCCAGTACTGTTTTGCTCATCTTTATCAGCTTAAATTTCTGCTGACTCTTAGTATTGATGAGAGAGGTTGCTGCCCTTGCTGGATGAACTGATGATTTGAAAAGGTAAAAGCTGGAGTGCTGCTTGTCAGTGGTGACCTTTTTCAGTGCAGTTTTGTCAATAAGCACTGTTTTACAGGGTATCCACTGACCAGTGCTGTTTATCTCAACAGTATTCACTGTGAATTAGTTAGAACAGCATATGCTTGTCATAACAGAGACAAGTTTTTCCCATCTTGCTCCGAGTTCTCTCTGCTGGTATAAACAGGCTTAGTGAGCACTGTCTGTCTGCTGCTTGTGTGAACTGGAGAATTCAGAGTGCCTCCTAATGGCTCATGACCCGAAACATGTTGTCGCATTTGGTGGCTTAGTGGGATTAAATACTGTTATAAGTGAATGTCCTGTTTTTATTTTTACTTTTGTGGCAATGGGGGAGTGAGTTATCCAGTACAAATTAGCTTTTGGTTTGGTACTACTGCCCGCCTGGAGAGCTCTGTGTTAAAAGGCATGGTATCTAGGCAGCAAGTTAAGAATTGCAAGAATAACTGAGGTACTGAACTAGAGATGCTGGCATATACACATTCTCTCTGATTTGTTCATTTTCTTCAAAAACTGCATAGTGGTAGAAATTATTTTGCTTTAAGAGAAATGACTCATAAAAAGATAAGGTTAATTTTACAATTCTTGTTTCTGCTTTTTTCTTTTTTCTGATGTAGGTGGAAATGTTTCTCCTCGCTTATACTCTGCGGTACACCATCCAAGTCTATCGATTGTATAAATATAATACTGATGAATTCATCACACTTTATCCAAATGACCCGAAGGAAGACTGGCCTGTGGTGACTCTCATAACTGAGGATGACAGACATTATAATATTCCAGTTGGAATGTGCCAAGAGACTGTGTTGTAAACAAGTGGTTTTGGCAGACAGATCTGTGCTGTTTTGAAATAGAATGATGATACATTATTAAGTCTATGGCAGCTATAAATTCATGTTTCAGAAGCTTACATCTGAACCAAAATACTGAACAAATCTTAAAAAAAAATAATTGGGTTGGAATTTTTCCAGTAAGTTTTTTGTCATTGCCTGTTTTTTTTTTTTTTTTTTTTTTTTGGTGGAGATTTACAGCTTCCATTTCTGAAGGGAATCCAAAAAAATACAGGTTCTCTTCTTAAAAGAAGATAGGCTGGGCTCTGTTGCAAGAGATGAGCTGACCTTATGGTTTTGCAGCTAATTGGATAAGGATGAGTTGAAGTTTCTGCAGAAGGAAGTTAATTGTGTCCTGACACTTCTGTAGTGCTGTTTAGAAGCGATTTGTGTGATTGAGCCTGAGGAAGCAATATAATTCTTCTGCAGTTGTAGCATAAAACCATGGGAGACATTAGCTTCCAAGAGAAATGTTTGTTAGATGTTTCCTAAAGCTTTGGGGGCTGTTCAGACATGAATGTCTTTTATTTAGAAGCTAGGCATGTGTTATGCAGAAAATGAAGAGCAGCTTTTTACCCCTTTCAGCCTCTTGAGAGGGTTGTTGCAGAGGTGCTTGGTAATGGGAGGGGAGGGTTTGTTTTTTTTTTTTTTTTTTTTTTTTTTTTTTTTTTTTTTATTTTAAGAGGTCACAAATTGAAGCCTAGCCAGGATTCTTTTTTCATTTGTGATGGCTGATGCAAAATATGCACATACCACTTCTATGTTTCTTATTATTGTCATCGAAGTGTTAATCCTTGCAGGTAGCCTCTGCACAGACCATAGAGATTTGAGTCTACTGCATGTGGCACTTTTCCTGTGGGAGATTCAGTGTGGCTACGTAGAAGTATTAAATATGTTTTAAATTGAAGGAATACCTAATATGTCAGTTGATGTCAGTGCTGGCATAACTCTTTCTTTTTTTAAAAAAAGAAAGCTTCTATCTTAAAAGGGAAATGTGCTCTACGGATGAATCTCAGAACTGGAGAGAGATTTGATTTAAATGTAATGCCGGCCAGGTACAGAATACCTGATTGCCTTTAAAAGACCTTTTCACACAAAAGAGTTGAGGCTATAAAAGATACTTTCCATTCAAATATCTTGGAGGAAATGGCATGCAGAATTTCGATTCTCCTGTTTTAAAATGAATTTTATTTTTTTATTGTGAAAGACTATATGAATGTGTATGTGTTTTAGCCACACTTAATGAGAGCTATCATGTACTCTTTAAGTGTGATAACATTTATCATGTTATCTTCAGCTTTGGTTTGTTACATTGAAAAAGTTCTGGGAGCGGCAAAGAAAGAAAAAATAAACCAGCTTATCTTGGAGTACTTTGTTTCTGAGTCTTTTTTTTTTTTTTCCCTAATCTTGTTTTCTGAGGTTTTTAACTTTGAAATACCTGTTAAAGAGTTATTTCATGAAAGCGGCAGAGCAAAACGTGTTTAAAAAAAGGTAATTATCAGTGTGCCGCTTGTTTGTGGATAGTGAAGAAATTCTCTGAATCATTGTTAGCACAGTAGCGCTGTAGGAGAAAAAAAACCTAAAACTTCAGCAATTTGCTGAACTCTGATAGGTAAGTTTTCTTGTTAAGCCTTATTTTTGCAAAACTAAGCAAACGGTGCTTCAATGACATCTTTTTAAGTATTCAGAGGAGAGTCATATTCAAGCCTTCTTAAGGCCTAGGTTTGCAGTCATTCTGTGTGTGTGATTCACAGTCTTGGCATAATCGTTGATCTGAGCGACAGGCACTGAGCACAAGGTATATGAAAACTTCAGAGCTGCTTACTGCTTCTGCAGAAACCTCAGTACCTGAAACCGCAGAAAAACAGATTTTGTTCTTTATTTTTTTGGCTACAAAGCTACGTAGTTTATTCGGCTAACTCGAGTATAAAATCAACAGCTACAATTTTCCCAGCTAGAGTTGTTTAATGGACGCATAGTGCTGCTAAACTTGCACGTGCATTCTACTGAACAGACTGGCACAGTCAGTACAATAAAGGAAAAAGTGAAGGCAAGTGACGGAAGGGAATAGAGGTCAGACCTCCTCCCCCAGCCTGCTCTCCTCCCCAGTGTTTCTGAGTCCACAGGTGAGTAAATTACAGGTTTCTGACAGCTGCTGTATCTCAAGATCAGAGCATAAAGCTAAACATGCTCTTCCTGGCATCTGGCTTACTTTGATAGGTGCCTTCCAGGTTTCGAATACAGTAATATCTGAGCTCCTAGATTCGCAGAGAGGTTTCAACCCTCACTGATGTTGCAGTTGGCAACCTTTTTGTGACCCACCCCCCCAAAAAACAAACAAACAAGCAAACAAAAAAACAGAAAAACAAAAAAACCCCACCCACCAAGATGCATAGCTGCATCTGCCTTAGGGCCATTTTTCTATCCACGCTTTGGCCGCTGTGTTACATCCATCTCCGATACATTTTTAGATCGAAGGAAGCATCCATCCGTAGTGTTCCTTCAGTCTACTTTCAGCTATTTACTAGAAACATGCTGCCTTCTATCGCAGTTATTTGACTTTATGCCTTTTAAATGGGCACCTGAAGTCAGAACTTGCTGGTTGTGTCAAGAGGAACAGTTTGGCCTGACATAATATCCTTTGGCTCCTTTGTAAGAGAGAGACTTTGGACTCTAGTGACAGGTATTCCCCAGCACTCTGTTCATGGAAGTGCACAACTTTTCCAGGTGGAGGAAAGCAGAGGTCCAGATGATAGTTGGGCTTGGCTGAGCTTGGCCTCTGGCGGGATGGGGAGGTGTTTGACTCGAGATAGTGAGTCAAAACAACAGGTGAGTCACTGCTCACCTTCAAACAGGTGAGTCGCTGGTTGGCCCAGTCTTGGCCCAGTTTGTTTTTGTGTGACGTCAGCAAGACCTATCACCAGGTGCCATGGAAGGAGGAGGAACGCGAGGTGGGAATCTGCCTTTCACCAGAATGGTGAGCATGCTCAATGTCGTTTTTCAGGTATTAAGGAAGGAAGGGTCAGGAGGAGAGGAAACGCTTGATTTATGTACACTGCAGAGTTCTGTTCGCTATCAGACTACTCTAATGCTTAACCTGTTATGCAGACTCTGCATCTAGATGTCTTCTGGACCCAACCGACCTTGCTTCTCGTGGTCTTCTAGTTGGCAAGAGAGGACTGAAATATGTATATGTATCTTACAAAGGCTCCCTTTCTTTGGTAAAGGTAAAGATGACTTCAGTAAGCGTGTTCTGAAAGTTGACCACTAAGTGAATAGCTGTTTTGGGGCATTGACTAGTATGCTGTAGGCCAGATGGATTCCAAAAACTTTCCTCCTCATACATTTGTTGGAAGGAAGAGCCATAATCTGAGCAATGAAGAAAATAAGTAGTATATTACCTTCAGTTTGCTGCAGCAGAGAGTTACTGGAAGGGCCAGTAATATGTTAGCCCGTGTGCATGCTCTTCAGTGTCAAAACTTTCTATAGTCTGATAATCTCTTGACTTGCTTACCCAAAGCTTGATGAAATAAATGACAATTTATTCACAACTAGCACAAATTATTCCATTGTATGTTTTTGGTACTGTTATTTATTTCATTTTGCCCTTCTTAGAACTGGATAGTTTTGTGTATGTTCACTGCTTACTGGGACTGGACAGAATTTAGACACCATCCTTGTTAGATGTGATGTGCATGCATCTCATATATTAAGAAATCAACAGCTGTAATAATCTCATACTAGGTTGTATCCTAGTATTCTGTATTCTCAGCTTTTGTGTGTGTGTGTGTGTG